TTTTAGAACTCCAATTTTCAAATCTCTGTTTGAAACTTCACTTACATTTCAGATATATCTAACGGTTGTCATTTTTCTCTTTTAGAATATAGTTGACTTGGGGAGGAAGACTTACTCTGAGTTACAATAATTTAAAGAGGGACTTTTTTGTCCATTTAAAATACAGAAATACAACATTCAAAATGAGAATAGTTTTTCTAAGATATGAAATATGAATTTCAATAGCAGCATTACTAGTTTAAGAGTTTAGCAGAGAAAAAATGGAATCTGCTAAATGAAGGAAAAGTCTAATATTTGTGTTTTAAATGCTGTATTGTATAGTCACACTTTCAGGCATTATATCAACTTCTCATATTTTCAGTATATTTTTCACTACCATCACTTTAATCATTAACTTTAAAAATAAAATTAAACCCTTTAAAAATGTGACAAATGAACTTCATGAAATTTGGCAAAAGTTCTTGTACTAAAAGTTGTGTTTATTTCTTCTTCTTTTTTCGAAACCTGTTTAGTACTGAATCCTTTAGCAGGAGGCTCTTCCTAATATGAATGCCGTCATTATTTGCCCTTATGTCTACAATCTGGGACTTGAGGTTTTTAAAGGCCTTTATGTGGACTATGGTATTGTAGCTTTTCTAAGCATTTTTTAAAAAGTAATAAAATTATGTGTATGTATTAATGCTGATCAGAAAAGTAAGGCAAGAAAAGTTGATGGCATTCATTAGATTTTAGCTGAATGGAGCAGTTCCTTATAACAGCTGTATAGGAAGGATAAAACACTAACTTAATGTGTATTCAGCTTAAATTGTTATTAAATTTATTTTTAAATTGTCAAGAAAAATAAATAGTTTTATACATTTGAAGAGTCTTCCCCCACCAAAAAAAAAACAAATTATAACACATATAGTGATGACCACCTTCCCTCATAATTACAGAAATGAAGTAAATAAGAAACTGTTCTCCCCTACCACACTTAGAGAGGAAAAAAAACCACACTGAAAACACCTTACACTAGATTTGACATCAAAAGCAGGATGGCTGTGAAACTGTTTGCATGTTCATTACGCACATACCTTCTGACTCAAAATTTTTTTTTGCGAAGAATTCAGATACCCAGAGAAGTCCCAGGGATCAAAGCTTGTGTCTTGGACATTCAAAAGATAACAGTAAAAGTCAAAGAGTAAGGGTTCTGGCACTATTCTGAACAAGTAAGTGAGAGATACAGGAGGCAAAACAAGAGAGAACTCCTTTTGCCAGTGACAATCCACAGTGGCAATGTGTGACACCTATTCTTACCTCTTTAATTAGTTTCCTCTCAAAACTACATCTAACTGATTCTCATAATAACAAAGGACTTCTTTCCAAAAGGCAATCAAGGAATTGTGGTACTATGATAGCACCTCTTACACCCCACGTTCCTTCCTCAAATGGATCAGAAACTGTGATTCTGAGATTGTATCTTCTGAGTTACAAAGACTTATTAAAAGTACTTAGATGTTAAGCTGGGCATGGTGGCACATGACTTTAATCCCAGAACTGGGATGCCGGTGGATCTCCGAGATCGAGGCCAGCCTGGTCTACATATCAAGTTCCAGGCCAGCTGGGGCTACGAGGAGACCCGGTGTCAAAATGAAACCCCCCTCCCCCAAAAAAGTGTTTAGATGTTTAGGACTACAGGTGTAGTTCACCAGTACAGCATTCACTTAGCATTTGTAAGGACCTGGGCTTGAGTCCCAGCACCGCCAAAAACAAAAACAAAAAGGTATTCAATAGCTTATCCCACTTAGAAATGAGGTGTGATAAATAAATGTACAAGGAATACTTTTTCCTCATTTGTTTTGTGTGGGTATGTGTGTGCATATGTGTGCTCATGTGTGTATGTGTATGTGTAGACCAAAAGCTGACTTCAGGTATCTTTGTCAATCACTCTCCACCTTATATATTGAGGCAGGGTCTCTCTCTCTCTAGTTGAACCCAAAGCTCACTAACTTGGCTAGTGTAGCTTGCCAGCTTGCCTCAGGGATTCCTTGTCTCTGCCTTCCAGGTGCTGGGACTACAGGCAGGCTACCATGCGAGACACCTGCCCTGCATTCATACAGAGCCTGAGGATCCGAATTCTGGTCCTCACACTTGTGGGCACATCCAGGCTTTACTCACTAAACCATCTCCCCAGATCCTCTTTCCTCATGTCTAAACCTCCATCTTGGATACTGTTTGTAGCAAGAAAGAAAAAAAGAAAAAAGAGAGAGGGAGGAAGGAAAAGTTCCGAGGGATGTCTTTTTAACTCTCTGCTAAAAACTGCAAAAACTGTTTGACTCAACGTTTTTGTTTTTTCTTGTTGTTGTTATTTATTTATTTATTTGTTTATTTATTTATCTATCTATCTATCTATCTATTGGTTTTTGATAGGGTCTCCCTGTAGTTCTAGCATGCCTGGAACTCTACGTACAGCAGGGTAGCCTCAATCTTACAGAGATATGCCTGTCTCTGCCTCAACATTTTAATTAAACTTTATAGCCAACTTCTTAAAAATTATTTATTATTTTTATTTTATGTGTATGAGTGTTATGCCTGCATTTAAGTCAGTGCACCCGTGTTGTGCAGTGCCCTTGGAGGACAGAAGAAGCTGTCGGATCCTCTGAAACTGGAGTTACGGACAGTTGTTAGCTGCCATGTGGGTGCTGGGATTCGACCCCGGGTCTTCTGCAAGGACAGTCAGTGTTCTTAACCACTGAGCTATCTCTCCAGCCCCTACAGCGAACTTTTTAAAGAATGCATTCATTATATCAAAAAAGACATGTAGCTCAGAGTGACTTAGCTATAATATTAGCACTTAAGGAGTGGAGGCAAGAGGATCAAGAGTTCAAAGTCACTACATAAACTCACTACATAGTGAATTTAAGATCAGTCTGAGCTACGTGAGATTCTGTCTCAAAACAAAGAAAACAAACAAAAGAGATGTAGTCACTTTACGTTAGCCAAGCACAAAAACCAATGTACAAATTTCTTTTTCTCTGAAAACAATATAACACAAATGTTCTCATTGTAGCTGGAAAAACTATTTTTATCCTATACATAAAGGCACTGTGTCTATAAATTCATTTTCTTAGACTCTTCCAAGCTCTTACCCTCAATCTAATTCATAGGAACAGGCAGCTTACTCCCCTCAGCCCTCAGCACAGCATGCTTGGTGGCTGGTTGTGGGAATGACTTTTCTTAGCTTGCTTATAACGTAAACAAGCTCACTGAGCCATGTGCTCCTCTTGTGACTGGCTTGGACCTAGAACCTTAATCCCTCTGACCCTTCCTTGCCTCCACCCAAGATACTATAGGAATGTGTATATGCATGTTTTTTACAAATCAAAGCAACAAACCCCAGCAAACACAGCGCTTATCTCACTGAAAACAATGAGAGAAATTTGTTAACACCTATTTTTGATGTGTTGGTCTAGGTCTAGGGATAAGAAAGGGCAAGATTCTCTAATAAGGCTCTGACTTTTACTTCTCCATTTCATACCAAGAGATTCTATTTTTAATGAAGAATGAGCAAAGCCCTTGCTTAAGAGAACAGTTCTGAGAGAAACCTAAAGGAACAAGTTCTCAGTAGTTCAGGTCCACTCATGGCCTTAAAGACAGATTCCTAAGAGTCAGGCTGACTTTTTTAAACAATGCTGCAATATGGCTTAGAAATGCCATAGCTGGGGGCTAGAGAGATGGCTCAGCACTTAAGAACACCGGTTGTTCTTGCAGAAGACCTGGGTTTGAATCCCAGCACCCACATAGCAGCCAACAACTGTCCGTAACTCCAGTCCCAGGGGATCTGGCCGCCTCTTCTGACATGGGCATTGCATGACACAGGTGCACTTACCTACATGCAGGTTAATACACACAAACACATAAAACTTAATAAATCAAGTTTTAAAAATTATTAAAAAAAGAAATGCCATAGCTGGTGTTTGTATCTGTGATGCAATCATTCTGTCTTTCATGCACAAAAAATAAAAGCAGCAGCCCACCACCTTGTATGAACAATAGGTAAGAATATATCCCCTCAGTGAGAGCAATAGCAGAGTTTTCTCTCTGCTGATAGAACGCTCTAGATATTGCCAAAGAAAGGAGTGTTCAAATTCACTTGATTAAAAAGTGTTTTAAAAAAGTAGTATAAAATAAGGAATCCTTTAAATGGTTTGATGCTGGGTTCAACTTTGGCCAAGATCTAGATAGAGTTAGCCCTGTGTCTAAGGGTTGTATATCCACAAACAATCTCAGTTTAAAAATATTTTAGCAAAAAAATTACATCTTTACTAAACATGTATCAACTTTTTTTGTCATCCATCCCTAAGCAATCCAATATAGTAACTTAAAATTTGAATCCAAAATGTCCCTCACAGGCTCATGTTTTGAAGGCTCTTCCCCCCAGCTTTTAGTGCTATTGTGAAGGCTGTGGAGCTTCTTGGATGTGGGGCCTGACTACGTGAAGGTCACTAAAGAGGAGTCTTTGACAGTTTTAACCCAGCCTGTGGTTCTGCTTCACCGCTTCTGCTCCTTGGTCAGAAAAAAATGTGAGGGAGGAGTCTTTGCCACATACTCCTACTGCCATGAATTCCATGATGCCTTCTCCACAATCATGGACAGAAATCTTTTGAACCCATGAACAAGGAATAAGTGTTGATGTCTTTAAGTTGCCTCTGTCAGGAATTTCTGTCATAATGATGTAAGAGTAACTACTGAAATAGAATTCACATTGCATTGGGTTATGAGAAGATGTGCATGGGTTACATGTAAATACTACAGTATTTTGTAGAAAGGACTTGAGCATGTGCAGGTTCAGGTATCTGACAGGGATCCTGGAATCATCCCGACAGAGTGTGAAGGTCATGTAAGTGCATATAGATAATGAGATTTCTGCAATGCTACAGACAAGCCACCCAGACTCAGCATTTTAACATTCTACCCCCTCATGTTTGTGTTAGTGAACACAGAAGAGGCACACAGCTCACCTTTTGACTACCAGCTTCAGGATCTTGTGGGACCCCTTCACCAGGCAAATTGCTTCTTGTCTGAACCCTGACAGACCTACGTCATTGATGCATACGATCTCATCTCCAGCAAGTAACTTGTCAACCGCTGCAGCTTTGCTTCCTTCTTCAATCTGTAACAGAGACGTGCGCACTATAAGCCATAAGAACAAAAGCAAGTCCCTCGAATGTGAGGGGGAATACAGTAAACCCACAGCTCATCCAGGACAAGGCTTCAGGAAGAACCAGAAGTGGAAAGTCCAGGAAGCTTGGAGTGAACAGGTCCTGAGACTCACCCCATTGGCCCTGCAGGACCAGGGTCCCACTAACATGCCCTTACACAGCATTCCTCATCCTGATCAGTGCCCCCAGGACATAAGCTCACTTAGAAAGGTATGGAAAGCCTCAGAAACCAGTATGTTCTACTTTGTCTTTTGTTGCTGTGATAAAGAAAAAAAAAACTGACCAAATCCAACTCAGGGAAGAAAGGGTTTATTTCAGCTTACATCTTTGAGGGAAGACAAAGCAAAAACTCAAAGGAGGAACCTGGAGGCAGGAATCAAAGTAGAAACCATGGAGTAACCATGGCTTACAAGCTTCCCCCCCTCCTTGACTTGTTTTACAAAGCAACTGCAACATGTTGCTTCCCACTAGCTGTCCATTAAGATTTTGAATTCTCCATATGTTTGCTAATACCTAAATCTTTACCATAGTTCAAACCAGATTATGCCATGCTATGTATTTTAAGATATTCAGTAGTCAGTGTTATGCATACCCTGCTCTAAATATGTCTTAAAAGTCTCTAACAAGTTTGACTGTGGTGGTGTGGGCTCAGTTGTAGAGCACTTGTCTTACATAGATGAGGTCCTAGGTTCAAACAAAGCCAACAGATAAAAGACCACTCCTAGAAAAAACAGGAAGCAATTCATCCAACAACATCTCATTTCAAAATCTAGATAAGTTTATCCCAACATCATACCAGACAGACTTAGTTAACCATGTATACCAGACAGACTCAACCATGTATAGCCAAAATACAAGTGATACCTAATACAGACTTGGTTTTGACAAGTCTCCTGTGAAAGACACAGGAGCTGCCCAAGTAGAAGGATGATGGGCAATTGGCTGTCTGAGGGTAGGACCCAAGGGAAGGTAGCCTATACGTGGACTGAAATGATTATCAGCTGATAAATGCATTATCAGAAGCAAGAAGTTTTTAAACCCTGGAGATGGGGTTGTGAGCACCAAAGGAAGTTAGATAGAACATAGACCATGGGAGGATGAACTAGGAGGAAGAATAGGCACCCAGAACAGATCCTGGACTGCTGAACATGATGGCAGAGGAGATAACCCAAAACCCAGGAATAAGAGTGAGAATCATGCAGAGTGGATATAAAGAAAAATCCCAACACTGGAGCTGGGGTCACTCCCTGAAGCCAGATGGCAGAATCTCACTATAAGACCCTTCAATCTGGTAAGCGTCTGGGCCTCTAGTTGGTGGATTGATAAAAAGAAACTAATTTTGGTCTTGCCATTGAATTCTAGATGCAAACAACCCAAATTTCCATTAATAGGTGAACATACAAGAAAAATGCAAACATACACACACCTGTAAAAACAAGGGGGTTGGAATGTAGCTCAGTGGTAAAGCACCGGCCTGGCTCCAAGATTCCATTTCCACTACCCTCACACTCTAAAATAGGATACTGTCATATACTACAACATGGACATTTTTTTTTGTCTTTTTGAGACAGGGTCTCCCTGTAGCCCCAGCTGTCCTGGAACTCACTATGTAGACCAGGCTGGCCTTGAACTCACAGAGATCCGCCTGCTTCTGCCTCCCAAGTGCTGGGACTACAGGCGTGCGCCACCACGTCCGGTTATCCGGTTAACATGGAGATTTTTAACATTATACTACAAAGCATAAGCAAGACACAAAAGGACAAACACTGTGTAACTCCATTTATATGATGTACCAAAGTAGTCAAAACCATAGAGAGACAAAAAGTAGAATAGCGGTTCCCAGGGGCTGGGAAGAGGAGGGAGGGATGGAGAGTTGGTGTGTCACGGGACCAGAGCTTCAATCTGTGAGGATGGAAGGTCCTCAAAATGGACACTAGTAATCATAGTACAACAGCATGAAATGTACTTAATGCCACTGAATATACACTTTAACATGGTTAAGATAATCATTTTTGTTTTGTTATTTTTTTATCTTTTCGAGACAGGGTATCTCCCTGTACCCCCAGCTGACCCGAAACTCACCAAGTAGACCAGGCTGGCATTGAACTCACAGAGATCCGCCTGCCTCTGCCTCTCACGTGCTGGCATTAGAGGTGTGTGGCACCACACCCGGGTAAGACAATCAATTTTATATTGTGCATATTTTAACACAAGAAAAAGTTGTTTAATCTTCAACATCTAAAAGGAAACTATTCTAATCCTGTATAAAAATCATATGGACTAAACTTTAAAATTGTAACCTTCACCCTAATACCACTGAATTCAAGAACATTGAGAAAATCTTTATTATTATTTTTTTTTATTTTATGTGTATGAGTATATTGCCTGCATGTGTGTAAGTGCACCCCTGTCATGCAATGCCTGCAAAGTTAGAAGAGGGTCTTGGATTTCCCTGGAACTGAAGCTACGGATGGTCGTTAGCCACCATGTGGGTGCTGGGAATCAAACCTGGGTCCTCTGCAAGAGCAGCCAGTGCTCTTAACCGCTGAGACATCTCTCCACTCCACATTGAGAAAATCTTTAGACAAAGCCACTGTGACAGACCTGTGATCCTAGTCATTAAACCCATGACTTTGTGTATGCAAGTCAAACACTCTAGTATAGACCTATATCCCTATATCAGTTTTTTTGAGACCGCGTTTCACAATGCATTCCACACCGGCCTTGAACTCCTGAGAGCTGAGATTACAAGTGTGTGCCACCACATGTGGCTTGAGAGGCTTTTTGGAGCAGCACTTCCTCAGAGTGACACATTACTTGTGTCTGAGTAAGCCATGATGAGTGGGTTTTCGTGGGTGTGTTTTTCTATCTCATTCCCACAAATGCTTGTATAACAAGTCCTGAGGCATTCTGACAGAGTGCTCCCATCTGAATCCTCCACCTTCTCTTGTAAAGATGAGGACACCTGCTACTTTCTGTCTGCAAAGATCCCTTAAGGTCTTCAACTACAAGCACAATACCCATTAACCTCCCTCAACCACACCCCTTCTTCATATCCAAACAAAAACATGGTTGTGTTTAGGAGATAAAGTAGTATTTTTTTTCTGTGTTTGCTTCCTGGTCAAGAAAAAAAAATCTCCCCAGGAAATTTTTTTAAACAACTAAAACTTACAGTTTTTATACTAGGATTATGAGGCAATTTTTGAATTGATGTCTGCATTACCATGGTATAGAAAATAGCAATCTGGGGGCTGCAGAGATGGCTCAGCGGTTAAGAGCACTGACTGCTCTTGCAGAGGACCTGGGTTCGATTGCCAGCATCCACATGGCAGCTATGAACCATCCTTAACTCCAGTTCCAAGGGAATCCAAAGCCCTCTTCTGACCTCCATGGCATTGCACAACATGGGTGCACTCACATACATGCAGGCAATACACTCTTACACATAAAATGAAAATAATAAAATATTTTTTTAAAAAAAGAAAATAGCAATCTGGACGGTCTGGACAGTGCTGGAGGACAGTGCTCTAATGTGGCTGCCAGTGGAGAGGACCGGGCACCCCAATGAGTAACACTATGGAGGGCTGACTGGCCTCAATAAAGCAGAAGCTGCTGCCAAGCAAACATACTGGGGCACAGGTAAAAAGATTTAGAGGCACTTTTATGACATCCCACCATATCCAATGAAGCCCAGTCATCCCTCCTACCACAATATCAGTAAGGATCACAGGTATGCACACCTCCCTGAAGATCAGCTATCCTCCTTTGAGAGTCTGAAGGACACTAGTGCCACAGCACTGACCTTCTTGAATGAAGAACTGTCCATCGAATCAAGTAGGAGAATGGGGTCCTGATCTCAGCCCATTGAAATAGTCTTTGGGGTATCATCAAGCATCTGAAGGGTCTCTTTGGTCTTTCTGAACAGGCCATCATGAAGCCAAGTCTGCCAACTAGTATTCCCACTCTCTGTGAAGTGGACAAGAACGTGAGGCTCATCAAGCCCATGCAATTCGTAGAGGAAAAGGGAGCATGTGCAAAGCCATGGAAGCTGTGGTTACTCAGGGCAAGGGCAAGGTGAAGGTGAGTAGGCATGCTGCTACCCTAAGGAAGAAAAAGGGTTGCAAATTTCCATTATACACTCAACTCATCTCATATCCCAAGTTCAGCATCATTAATCAGGCTTGCACCAGAAAAGAAACCTAAACCTGGCACTGATTTTCACAGAATAATAACTGTGGCTGACAGCATCCCATCCCTAGAGTACATCAAGTTTTACAGAACTGCAAAAAGAGCCAGGCATGGGCGGCATACATCTGTGATCTCAGCACTCAGGAGGTTAACTCAGGAAAGCTGTGAGTTTATGGCCAGCCTGAGCTACAGAGTGAGACCATGTCTCAAACAAATACATAAAACACAAAATTTCCATACAAAGCTTATTATGCTGTAATCCTGTGTTTGCAAGGTAAGGTCAGCATGTGCAACGTAACTACTGGTGTCAGTATTGAAGACCCTTACAGTCAAGGATGAAAACTCAGTAAGGCAGAAGAATGTGGCCTGCGAGGACCAGGTGCGCATGGATGCATCAGTCCGGTGGAATGGGAGTGTGAAGAGCCATGCCCACCTCAGCTGTGGGGTGGAGATGAAAAGGCTCTCCAAACAGAAAATGCTGTTTGAGGCAACTTGAAAGGAAGAAAGTAGGATTAGGGAGGACATTCCATGGAGGTCATGACATGAGGAAACGGGCAGGCAGGAAACAGGCATGCCAGGGGGATGAGTCAAGGGGCCGTTGTGTAAAGCATACACAGGACTGTGTGAAGAGAACAGAGGAAAGCGAGATTGGAAACTTGACCTTGAGTCAGAATGTGGGCAGCAATTCTGCAGGGAGTTGGAGGTGGTTGAGGGAGGGCAAACAAATGAAGCATGAACTTCAAATGAAAACTTCTGCTTCAGG